TCGTTTTGTTTAGCGATAGTTTGCGAGTCAAATAAACAACTGGATTTAACCTGAAACCGAAAATTCATTAGATTTTTTTAGCCCATCTGAAAAGGACCTAAGCTTGAAAATTCATTGCATATTGCAATTCATTTGCGATAAAAACAATACAAGATGTAGGCATCTAAATGATAGGATGCATGGCTAAACAAAAACATGCCCCATTTTTGGCAAACGACATAAAAAAGCACTCCTTTCTCTTTTGCTGAAACTCTAGAGTTCAATTAATTCTCTATTCTCTACACTTTTGGAGGACAAGCCTTGAAAGAAAAAGAACCAGTATAAGGGTCGCACGTAAAAGAAGAATTCAAATCGCGTTGCGGGCACATATCAGGCCAGTGGTCATATGGCTTCCCACAAATTCTACAATCCATGAGGATTGCACGTCCACTGGTTTGGCCGCATTTGGCACAACATGAGTCTCTAAACCTACTTCCGCAGATAGTACACTGAACCGAACAACCCTTGCCAAGAATTGCATTCTTTGGGACATCATACTTGTAGGGGCACAGTTGCGTAATGTGATCATCCACCTTTAAACAATACATACATTCACCTGTGTGCAATTTGTAGATCCATTGTTAAATACAACAAAAGCAATAAAAATAATTACTTACTTTTTTGTTTTTTTTTTGTTTTTTTGTTAATGAAGATAATAAATCCCAAAAATAAGTATTGTGAGCATATGACATAGAATTATAACGAATACCTAGATATTATGTCATACACCAAATATATAGATATTATGCCACAAGAAGAGAGAAAAAATATATGATGAAATATATGTGAATACAGTATGGATCTTTTTATATATTGTATATAATCAAAAGCATACCAATAGGATTAGGATTAGGATGGAGGATAGAGGATGGAGGAGGGAGGTGGGAGGGCTAACTATTTTTCTTTTCTTTTCGTCTCTAAAATCAATAGGCCAACAAGGTTTTGCCTAGTGGAAAAGAGCCTTAATTTGCAGACTAGTTGTCTCAAGTTCAAAGCCATATGACAACTTGGTAGTGTATGTGAGACATCCACCTACCCCTTGTAGTTTATACTATGGCTTGTATCATAAATAAAAATAAATAAAAAACATACCAGCAGGAACAGGAGGGTCCGGGGCCTTCAAAAAGTCAACATTTGGTGACGTGCGGTTAGCAAAATAAGTCATAAGTCCTTCAAACCTCATTTGTTCTGCAGTCTTTGGTTGTTTAGCCTTGTTATCTGTTTGCATGCAGTTACATTGTTAAATACAAAAGTAAAAAGGAAAAGAATATGGGTGATAATGTCAAAAAAGTTAGAAGGAATGACATTGATCTTATTAACAAATAACTATATTATTAAATATCGGGTATTAATCGTGCACACACCAAAATAACTTGACTGGAAAAGATGAAAGTGATTCAAAAATTTGGGATAATACATACATCCTCCAACTACACCAACATAAGTAAAACAAAAACAGCAGTTTCTTTTTTCCAAACCGCACAAAGCCCAATTGTTTACGAAAAAAGCGTTTTGGTTCTAATTAACCTGTTGGATATGTGTACAAACAGTCAACACAAAATCAGTTATAGCTTAATTTGATGAATTAGCAAAGGTTTCGACCAACTTCAATTACTTCCCAAAATTTTTGTTGAGAAATACACTCAAATAACCAAATGGAGCAACGATCTTCCTGTAAAAGTATTTTCACATCAAATAGAACTAGGATATTGTATGAAACGAAATTCTACTACATCATAAACCGAAAAACATACATACCAATTGGCTTCCAAAGTGACGTATCGGGGACCATCTCTAGCGCCTTCAACCCGCCGTCCTTATCGACCACCTTCCACTCGCCGTCCTTATCGAGCACCACCGCTTGCCCGGCTACACAGATTGGCATATCGGCGTTGAGGGTATACTATTTGGCGAGAAAAGGTCCTTTTGCACAGCAGAGATTGGGAGGGATTTTAGGGTTAAGGGCTTCGCGTAGAGATGAGATTGTAAATACTAAATACTGAGATTAAAAAGACGGGTGCTTTGGGGTAGCTGAAATAAGGAATTTAGTTGGGAACTAGCAATTGCGGAAAGGTACCATCCCCAATTTCAATTAATTTCCTGTTTTGTTGTTTTGACCAACAAAATGGTAATATTTTTATTGATTTCTTGAGGTTCAAGCATGGACAGTCTTAGTTCATAGGGTAATATTCTTTTAATTCCTAAAACAACAACTCGCGTCTTATAAAAGGATGACTGCCGCTTGAATTTTTTTCAAACTTACAAAACAACTTTTTCTTTCTTTCTCAACAACGAATTGGTGATTGGAGCCGAGTTGAACTTTTGTTTTGCATTATGGCTGAAGCATATTCTATGACCAATCAAGAGTTGAAGGTTTGTGACACTGCCACTAGTTTTTAAAATACAATTATTATTACTTTCTATCATATTATGTGTAAAATGTATATCTATATCATATGTACTTACTAGCCTCTTGGTTTTTTTTTTTTATATTCTGAGTTCTTGAAAATAAACTGGGATTTCGAAATCTTTTTTATGCATATGACGACGCTTGTTTTAACAAACCGTCGTCTCTCTCAACAAGAAACCAGATTGGCTAATTGATGCCAAAACCAAGAGGAACCATCTTCCGACTGGTTTTCCAGTTGAGAAAGGATGACAAATCAAAGGGATATCTCTTGAAACTAGTGTTTTCATATGAGATATCCTTTCTCCTACCTATGGATAAACTCACGAGGACAAATCGGCATCTGGATTTGGACAACACTCAAGTATTATCCTCCAGCCTTCACTGCCATTTTTTTTTTTTTTTTTTTTTCTACCTATAAATATATAGGCTCAACAGCAGCACTCGATGACTCTCTCTCTCTCTCTCCAAAATCGAACGCAACGTCTGTTGTACTTTTATAACTGACACAAATTAATGTGCAAACAACCAATTAAAAATACCCGCAAGTGCACGAATCTATTGATGTATAGATAATGTAAGTACGGGGTCGATCCCGCGAAGAACTGTCGGCTTCCTACAAGTTCTAATTTGAGTACGTAAAGAACACTTATTTAACACACCACACATGCACAAAACAAATTGGAAACTAAAAATGAGTAAAGAAAGGTAAAAGAAAAGAAACAAAACAAGAAACCAAAGAAAAACACAAACAACACTTCCTATCACCCTTTTATCACCACTGTATCACCTGTTTATCACATGTGAACAGTGCGTGAACAGTGGTTGGCGACCGGCCAAAAATTGTTGTATTTGTTAACTAACACAAATTAATGTGCAAACAACCAATTAAAAATACCCACAAGTACACGAATATATTGAGGTATAGATTATGTAAGTACGAGGTCGATCCCACGAAGAACTGTCGGCTTCCTACAAGTTCTAATTTGAGTACGTAAAGAACACTTATTTAACACACCACACATGAACAAAACAAATTGGAAACTAAAAATGAGTAAAGAAAAGTAAAAGAAAAGAAACAAAATAAGAAACCAAAGAAAAACACAAACATCACTTTCTGTCACCCTTTTATCACCACTGTATCACCTGTTTATCACATGTGAACAGTGGCTGGCAACCGGTCATGAACAGTGATGATCGGTCGTTTTCTGGCAGATTGGCTGGCGACCGGTTGCCTGAACAGTAACGACCAGTCGTTTTTTGACAGATTCATTTTCTCTGTTTTTCAGTTTCGACCTCTGTCCAGTTTTTGACCTATACTGGAATCACTACATTTTCAAAACCTACACTCATGGTTGAGTTGCCCAAAGTGATGTCTTTTAGAGACTGAACATCTGGTGATTGACACTGGGATTCTGATTGTTGATCATGGCCGCATATATTTGACAATTAGAATCACAAGTAGAAACCAAGAAATTTAATATTCCATATTATTTATCAGATTAGGAAAAAGAATATTGATAACCACGACGGCTAGTCATGAAAGCGATACATTAAGAATTGCAATGTTGCATGAGAAAATGCTAGCTCAAACCCAAATATGAAGATAATACACGAAAGTTATACCACTTGGGCATGCAAGCAAAGCATACCCCGTGAGCTCCAGAAATAATGCTCTTGATCAATGGCACAATCTTGCTACTTCTTGCTACATCATATCCCAAAAAATATTTTGCGGCAATCACAATGGCTGAAGCAGTTGTAAAGCCAGAAATGACAGAGTGGCTGATGAAGCGAATAATCCATCCTAGCCTGAACGGGCAAAGATTATAATGTAACTGAAACTAAGGTGATGATGATCCGAAGCCAAACCTAATTTTATGATGACTAGTACAAACAAGACCTAATTAATGTTGTGGTATGATCAATATAGGATTATATATCTCCTGATTCTGTATTTCCAACGCCATCCTTATTCTCCAAACCTGTGTCATTCATAGCAATTCCTCCTCAAAGGACTGAAGAAAAGAAACAAATAATATAGTAAGAGAAGAGAAAGGGATAAACCCAAAATCAAATACGTCATTTCAAATTGATCATATTTGACAACTTGTACTGCAAGTTGGAAGTTTTAAATATATACTTTGATTTTAGTATATGACTTTTAATTAGTTTTATTTCAACTACGTATAGCATTTACGGAATTTGGACATGCTGGGTTTCACATCGATTACATTGCTGGCAGTGGCAACGATACTCTACTTCCAGAGGTTGTCGAAGCATCACTTCTTGGCTTGGCCCTCATATCATATGCATAACACTGCGATAATATCTTTGAATGTATTTCCAACTCCATCCTTATTCTTCAAACCTTGGTCATTCATTCCTAGTTATTGTTTAGCAAGTCTTTAAATTAATATAAAGTATACTAATCCCATAAGAGAAGAACAAAAATGTTGAGATAAAAACCACCTTTTTTACTTGAGACGTTTTCTAAATAGATGGATTGGATTCCCACAGCTTCAAGCATAAGAATATAACAATGACAATGCATTTGCTGCAAATTGCAATTCATTTGCGATGAAAACAATACAAGATGTAGGCATCTAAATGATAGGATGCATGGCTAAACAAAAACATGCCCCATTTTTGGCAAACGACATAAGAAAGCACTCCTTTCTCTTTTGCTTTAACTCTAGAGTACAATTAATTCTCTATTCTCTACTCTTTTGGAGGACAAGGCTTGAAAGAAAAATAACCAGTATACGGGTCGCAAGTAAAAGGAGAAGTCAAATCGCGTTTCGGGCACGTATCAGACCAGTGGTCATATGACTTCCCACAAATTCTACAATCCATGAGGATTGCACGTCCACGGGTTCGGCCGCATTTGGCACAACATGAGTCTCTAAACCTACATCCGCAGACAGTACAAACAACAGTACAACCCTTGCCAAGAATTGCATTCTTTGGGACATCATACTTGTAGGGGCACAGTTGTGTCACGTGATCATCCACCTTTAAACAATACCTACATTCACCTGCGTGCAATTTATAGATCTATTGTTAAATACAAGAAAAGCAATAAAAATAATTACTTTTTTTTTGTTTGTTTGTTAATGAAGATGATAAATCCCAAAAATAAGTATTGTGAGCACATGACATAGAATTACAACAAATGCATAGATATTATGTCATAAGAAGAGAGAAAAAAAAAATGATGAAATATATGTAAATAGAGTATGCATCTTTTTTATTTATTACATATAATCAAAAGCATACCAATAGGATTAGGATGGAGGATGGAGGATGGAGGAGGGAGGTGGGAGGGCTATCTATTTTTTTTTATTTTTCTTTTCGTCTCTAAAATCAATAGGCCAACAAGGTTTTGCCTAGTGGAAAAGAGGCTTAATTTGCAGACATGACAACTCGGTAGTGTGTGTGAGACACCCACCTCCCCCTTGTAGTTTATACTATGGCTGGCTTGTATCATAAATAAAAATAAATAACAAACATACCAGCAGGAATAGGAGGGTCCGGCTCCTTCAAAAAGTCAACATTTGGTGATGCGCGGCTAGCAGAATAAGCCATAAGTTCTTCAAACCTTCTTTGTTCTGCACTCTTTGGTTCTTTAGACTTGTTAACTGTTGGCAAGCAATTACATTGTTAAATACAAAAGTAAAAATGAAAAGAATGGGTGATAACGTCAAAGAAGGTTAGAAGGAATGACATCGATACCATTAACAAATATCTATATTATTAAATATCGGGTAGTATTCATCGTGCACATACCAAAATAACTTCACTGGAGAAGATGAAACTGCTTCAAAATTTTGGGATAATGTATACATCCTCTAATTACACCAACAAAAGTGAAAAAACATACATACCCGTTGGCTTCCAAACTGACGTATCGCGGTCATGGGGTACCATCTCTAGCTCCTTCAACCCGCCGTCCTTATCGAGCACCTTCCACTCGCCGTCCTTATCGAGCACCACCGATTGACCGGCCACACAGATTGGCATATCGCCGTTGAGGGGATACTATTTGGCGAGAAAAGGTCCTTTGCACAGCAGAGATTGGGAGGGATTTTAGGGTTAAGGGCTTCGCGTAGAGATGAGATTGTAAATACTGGGTGCTTATTATATAGGCGTGGACAGGGCTTTCTTTTTTTATTTTCTTTTTCTTTTGACCCCAATGCACGCATTTGACGTCTTTAATAAGCATAATAATGCACGCATTAAATGTTTTTATTATTTGTTAATATCATTATTATTTTTTCTCTAAAATTGTATACAGCAATTTATATGTGTTTATGTGGTTTGCTTTGTTTCCCGTTTAGCCCTTGTAAATTCATCTACTTGCTAAAAAATAAACAAATTTCAAACAGGGAAAGGCAAGATTAAGGAGGAAGCAGGAAGCACGTGGGAATTCAAGAATGCAACTTTTGGCTTCTCATCCTTGCGATATTTATCCCATGTTTCCCAAAATCCTCCGCTTGGAGGAGCCACTGCCTTTTGGCTAATGTAAAGTTCGATCTTCCCACAAAAAAAAAGATTTGCTTTGGGTAGCTAAAATAAGGAATTTAGTTAATTGCGGAATGGTACCATCCCCAATTTCAATTAATTTCCTGTTTTGTTGTTTTGACTAACAAAATGGTAATATTTTTACTGATTTCTTGAGGTTCAAGCATGGAAAGTCTTAGTTCATAGGGTAATATTCTTTTAATTCCTAAAACAACAACTCGCATCTTATAAAAGGATGATTGCCGATGGAATTTTTTCAAACTTACAAACCAACTTTATCTTTCTTTCTCAACAACAAATTGGTAATTAGAGCCGAGTTGAACTTTTGTTTTGCATTATGGCTGAGGCATATTCTATGACCAATCAAGAGTTGAAGGTTTGTGACATTGCCACTACTTATTTGAATACAATTATTATTAATTTCTAGCATACAATGTGTTAAATCTATATGGATGAGGCACATTCTCATCCTTATTTTCTTAACCTAATAAATCTATATGGATGAGGCACATTCTAGCTTGTAATTCACCTACTTACTAAAACATAAACAAATTTCAACAAGGGAAAGGCAAGATTAAGGAGGAAGCAGGAAGCACGCGGGAATTCAAGAATGCAACCCAATAAACAAATTTCCAGAGTACTATCCCAAAAACAAAAGGGTAATATTTTTATGGATTTCTCGAGGCTCAAGCATGGAAAAGGATGACTGTCGCTTGAACTTTTTCGAAACCAAAACAACTTATAATTAAAGGCAAAATTATGCTAAAGAAATACATTCCAATCAAAAAGCTCATATACCAAGTGTTTCATGATCAAAAGTATCGCAAGAATGACGGATCCCATTACAAAAGGAGGCCATGAGAACTACAAAAGAAAAAACCTGCTGCAGTTAAGAAAGGGAATTGATGAGTAAAACACAAAGCAAGATACAGTCAACAGTAAGGTTAAGTTCGGTATGAAACTATCAGTAATTTTAAGGGTCTAGGTATCAGCACACGCGTGTTGTGGTGTTGATAGCCATCAAGATTGATGTGATTCCAGGTTTCGGGTTTCAAGGTTCTGGTGCAGATTGATATTTCGGTGAAGTGATGGTGCAAAATAACCATTGAGTGTAGTGTACAAATTAACTATAGGGGACCAAGAGCTTTTCTTCCAGTTTCCCACTTACTGGTTTCACTTTGATTTACTTAGAGACTGAACATCTGGTGATTGACACTGGGATTCTGATTGTTCATGGCCACATATATTTGACAATTAGAATCACAAGTTGAAAACCAAGAAATTTAATATTCCATATTATTTATCAGATTAAAGATCATTATTAGGAAAAAGAATATTGACAACCACGACGGCTAGTCATGAAAGCGATACATTAAGAATTGCAATGTTGCATGAGAAAATGCAAGCTCAAACCCAAATATGAAGATAATATACGAAAGTTATACCACTTGAGCATGCAAGCAAAGCCCCCATCAGCTCCAGATATAATGCTCTTGATCAATGGCACAATCTTGCTACTTCGTGCTACATTATATCCCAAAAAATATTTTGCCTGAGATAAGGCAATCACAATGGCTGAAGCAGTTGTAAAGCCAGAAATGACAGAGTGGCTGATGAAGCGAATAATCCATCCTAGCCTGAACGGGCAAAGATTATAATAATGTAACTGAAACTAAGGTGATGATGATCCAAAGCCAAACCTAATTTTATGATGACTAGTACAAACAAGACCTAATCAACATCATATCATCAACAAGTTTTAGGCTCTGACTTCTTTAGATGTCAAAACGGAATGTATAAACTGCTGAGTGGCATAAGTTTCAAACTCATATGACAACTTGTACTGAAAGTTGGAAGTTTTAAATATGTACTTTGATTTTAGTATATAACTTTTATTTCAAGCATAAGAATATAATAGACAATGACAATGCATCTGCTGCATATTGCAATTTATTTGCGATAAAAACAATACAATCTGTAGGCATCTAAATGATAGGATGCATGCATGGCTAAACAAAAACATGCCCCACTTTTGGCAAACGACATAAAAAAACACTCCTTTCTCTTTTGCTTTAACTCTAGAGTACAATTAATTTTCTATTCTCTACTCTTTTGGAGGACAAGCCTTGAAAGAAATATAACCAGTATAAGGGTCGCAAGTAAAAGGAGAAGACAAATTGCGTTCCGGGCACGTATCAAACCAGTGGTCATATAGCTTCCCACAGGTTATACAATCCATGAGCATTGCACGTCCACGGGTATGGCCGCATTTGGCACAACATGAGTCTCTAAACCTACATCCGCAGATAGTACAAACAACCGAACAACCTTTGCCAAGAATTGCGTTCTTTGGGACATCATACTTGTAGGGGCAAAGTTGCGTAATGTGATCATCCACCTTTAAACAATACCTACATTCACCTGTGTGCAATTTGTAGATCAATTGTTAAATACAACAAAAGCAATAAAAATAATTACTTACTGTTTATATAAAAAAATTACAAGGAATGAATGAAGATGATACAACCAAAAAATAATTATTGTGAGCACATGACATAGAATTACAACAAATAAATTGATATTATGTCATAAGAAGAGATTAAAAAATATATATATGATGAAACATATGTAAATACAGTATGCATCTTATATATATATAATCAAAAGCATACCAATAGGATTAGGATGGAGGATGGAGGAGGGACGTGGGAGGGCTATCTTTTTTTTTTCTTTTCGTCTCTAAAATTAATAGGCCAAAAAGGTTTTGCCTAGTGAAAAAGAGCTTTAATTTGCAAACTAGTTGTCTCAAGTTCAAAGCCACATGACAACTCGGTAGTGTGTGTGAGACACCCACCTTCCCCTTGTAGTTTATACTATGGCTTGTATCATAAATAAAAAACATACCAGCAGGAACAGGAGGGTCCGGTTCCTTCAAAAAGTCAACATTTGGTGCCGTGTGGTTAGCAAAATAAGTCATAAGTTCTTCAAACCTCCTTTGTTCTGCAGTCTTTGGTGGTTTAGGCTTGTTATCTGTTTGCATGCAATTACATATTGTTAAATACAAAAGTAAAAAGGAGAAGAATGGGTTGTAACGTCAAAGAAGTTAGAAGGAATGACATTGATCCTATTATAACAAATAACTATATTATTAAATATCGGATATTCATCATGCACGCACCAAAATAACTTGACTGGAAAAGATGAAAGTGATTCAAATTGGGATAATATATACATCCTCTAATTACACCAACAAAAGTAAAACAAAAACAACAGTTTCTTTTTCCCAAAACCACACAAAGCCCAATAATAAAAGAGACAAAAAATTTGTTGAGAAATACACTCAGTTAACCAAATGGAGTAACGATCTTCCTCTAAAAGTATTTTGCACATCAAATAGAACTAGGATATTGTACGAAATGAAATTCTACTACATAAACCAAAAAAACATACATACCCATTGACTTCAAAATTGAATTCCAAAGTGACTTATCGGTGTCATAGCCGACCCTCTCTTGCGAGGAAAGGTCCTTTCCCCCGACCAGCGACTGGCCAGCCATATTTGGCGAGCAAAGGAAAAGGTCCTCTGCAGAGCAGTTGTTATCAAGCACCATGTGGGGAAGAGATTGGGAGGGATTTTAGGGTTATAGGCTTGGCGTAGAGATGAGATTGTAAATATTGAGATTAAAAAGATGGGTGCTTGCTCATATAGGCGTGGACATGGCTTTTTTGTTGTTGTTTTCTTTTCTTTTTCTTTAGACCCAATGTGTGTATGTTTTCTTTGGACATATGGGTTCATTTTTGAAAACAGAAAGAGTATTGACCTAAATGTGTGTATGTTTTCTTTGGACTACGGTTTTCTTAAGGGAACCCAAAGGCATGGGAAAAAACTCCATTAATTTGTAGAAATTAAATTACATGGCTCCTTTTACGAGAGTTTTAATTTGAAATAAGTTATGGAGACTCTTTGGATTTTCTATGTTGTTTTCACCTTTTATTTTGTGAGAATTTTTCACACCTCTTTGTGACAGCTTTATATTTTTTTTTTTGTTCTTAGGTTGCATTCTTAGTTGGTATGCTTATATCTGAGTTTTTTAAATCATAAGTGATTGTTAGTGGATGAGCCCAAGATTGTGCTAATTTTGATATTATATTGCTCCATTATTGTAATGGCTCTTTGTGACTAGTTTGTATTGGCTCTTCGTGGCTAATGTCTTTTTTGGCTGAATTACAAATGCAATCCCATAATTTCTCACAAATGAAAAAATTACATGGATGATGTAAAACATGATTTCAATTACAACCATCAACTAAGAGAGTATTCTCTACCCCTACAATGTGTTATGTGGGTTCGAACTTAATACCATTAGTCTGCAAAGTAATGTCCTTTTTCATTGGATTAAACTTGTTGAAAACTAAGAGAGATTATGAAGGGTATCTTAAACCACTCAGGGCTTAGTTTAAGCTGGATAATACTTGTCGATGTATGTTTGGACAAGACTGGAACTAGATTATTATAAAAAAACCTAGAGAAATTGTGGAGAGAATTTTGAGAATAGCGATAGGAATCCTCTTCTGATATTTTCGTTGAGTCTTGCTCTGTCTCTTACAAATGAGAACGAAAGGTCTTGGCTAACAATTAAGTAAAAAGAAAGCTCTATGGAAATTTCCTTCCACCATGAGGATTTCATCTTTTTTGATTCCGTTTATACCAACTTTGTCTTCTTCTCATCATCTCCATCATTGGATGTTTCACCTACTCCACTCTCTTCTGTCACAAAACACAGACCATACTCCTTATTTTATCGAACACTCAAAACTCAAAACTCAATCCCATTTCTCATTTCTCAGAATTCAGGCAGGCCATGTACACCTTGTTCTTAATCTTGTTCATCTTCTCTCACTCACTCTGTGTTCTGCAAACCCAAGGCCTTAATTCAGCTGATGAAGTCAACGACTCTCTAACGTACCTATGGCCTCTGCCTTCCGAGTTCACCTTCGGCAACAAGACCCTTTCTGTCCACCCACAGCTCTCGCTCGTTGTGGGCGGGAACGGAGGCAACTCTAGCATTCTCAGACTTGGGTTTGATCGCTACAAAGCTATTATATTCAAGAACAGTCATGGGGTTTCTTCCTTTGATAGAATAAGGGGAAGGAGACTGTCCTATGATGTTACTAAACTGAAAGTTGTGGTTCATTCAGATAGCGAAGATGTGAGTTGGGTTTTTTCAGAAATTCAGAGTTTGCATTTGTTTTTGAGAAAATGATTGTGGTTTTGACTTTTGATAGCGAGTTTGGCTATTTTCAGCTTCAACTTGGTGTGGATGAGAGCTATACTTTGTTGGTGCTGAAGAAGGATGGCCAATCGATTGTTGGGGAGGCCACCATTGAGGTAAATTGAGGATTGAATATTGTGGTTTTTCAATTCTTTGGTGTATTCTGACAATAAAATGCAGAAGTAGATGACAATTTGTTGTGAATTGCACTGCCCTGTTCCCTGGATGGGTTAAGCTCTTTGAGCCAGCAATTTATATCAAGCAAAACATATATATGCTTTCCCATCCTGCATTGAGTGCACTGCATGAGGTTAACTGATAACTAAAAAATGGGGATGAGAGGTTTCAAACCAAAGAACTAAGAATGTCTTGCAAGTCTGCATTACTAAAGCTCTGGCTCTGACTAGTACTTGATGCGTTAACATCAAAATTAATCAATATCGATTCACATTTTGGAGTAAATGAATAGCAAAATAATGGTATGGATGTGCTGACGTTCCATGGATGTTGATTTTTGTTCCCTTTCTGGTTGCAGGCAAACACTGTATATGGTGCTCTGCGGGCGTTAGAGGTATGTATGATTGTTACTACATTGTGTTACGAATTAGGCATGGTGATGTACAAGCCCATGTATATAAGTAGGGGGGGTTGTTTTCGTGAGTTGGACTGCAACTTGACTATCAATAAGGCAATTGAGGAAGAGATTGAGGTAGGCACTAGGGAGAGACAAGCTATCAATTTCTTTCCAGTTAAAGGATAATAATGGACTTTGTACAGATGAGCAACAGATGGAAATCATGTTTCCTCCATCTCTTGCTCTCTCAAACTGAGGTGCATGAGTGAACGCTTACCTGAACCTCTGTTGGGTTTGCAGCTGCCAGTCAAATGTCAAATGTTACTGGGGTACTGTTGATCTAGTCCTGGGTAATGCATCACTTGTGATAAGTTGTTCCTTTTACTGGTGGCTCCTTATCAAATTACGCCATTTTGAAATTGTAGAATAAAGATGTCATATGTTCCTCTGCTAACTCTGGTGGTTGTCAAAATATCTGCTTGAAATGCTTAAGTATTTATTGCTTACTTATATAAATAATGAATGAAATGTTTTTGGATTAGTAATTGAGATCAACTGTTGGATAAGCTGCTTGATTTGTATTCATGATAGTATGCTTAACAAATCTCTCATTGTGCACAAATAGGCATGGCTATGTTTTGTTCCAGCCTCTCCCTTTCCTTATTCAATCTTCTCTTTTGCAATGTTCTAGACATTCAGCCAATTGTGTACTTTTGATTACGGGAGTAAATCTGTACTAGTAAACAGGGCACCCTGGTCCATACGGGACAGTCCAAGGTTTGCATACAGAGGGCTTTTGCTTGGTAAGCTACTATTTTTCATGAAAGAAGGAATTCTCTTCTAAGTTCATTAATTAGTTTGTCCTAAAATGATTCTTAGTATGTCCTAAAATGATTCTTAGTACCCATCTTTTTCACACTTTTGCAGATACATCAAGGCACTATTTACCAGTTGACGTGATTGAACAAGTAATTGAGTCGATGTCATATGCTAAACTTGTAAGATATGTTACCCAGAAGGGTTTTTGCACTTGGATTCATTTAAGCACCTTCCTGATATTACACTATGATTTGTTTCTCTAATGTTTTTTCATGTAATACTGATGTTGCGAATTACATTAAGTAGAATGTTCTTCATTGGCACGTCATAGATAGAGAGTCATTTCCTCTAGAAGTACCTTCATACCCAAAGTTGTGGAAAGGTTCATATACAAAGTGGGAGCGCTACACAGTTGAGGATGCACTTGAAATTGTCAGGTAAGATTTCTGTAGATTATTCAATCCTCATTAGCTTTTGAACTTCTTTGAAGAGCTGAAGATTACTTGTGTATTCCGTATTCATCCTAATCATTGCATTCTAGCTGTTGAAAATAGAAAGTCCTATGATACATCATATCTTCAGAGAATCTTAAGATGGATTATGAACCTAAATGGGACTTATTTTGAAAACTATGATAATGGCAGTGATTATTACTGATTATCTTAGAGTGAGATAAAATAAAAAAGAATGCTTGCAGAGGACTACAAATGTGAACCTGAAAAAGTAACTACTGAATTATTCTTGCAGCCTTCTAAATATATAGCCACGTCTTCCTGTTTAATCTGCGTATCTGATATGCAGTTTGTGCTTTCATACTCTTAAATAGACTAATTTTGTGTTTTCTTCCCACGTTTTGACATGTTAATGTGAAGCTTTGCCAAAACAAGAGGTGCGTATAGTCTTTATTTCCTTACTGGGCTTGAAAATAAGCTTATGTTCTTTACTATTCCTTGTTGTGTCCTTAGCCTGGTTGGACGCGATACAATCTATTTTACATATTTTACTTGATCATTTTGCATGTTTCTGTGGCAGGCATCAATGTTATGGCAGAAGTAGATGTCCCTGGTCACGCAGAATCATGGTAAAAATCTTTTTCAATATCAACTTTTGTCTTAAGCTAATGTTGTGGACATATTAACTGTCCTCTTAAGCTAATGACTTGGACATATTATTGTAGTTAAATTATTTTTAGTATGATAAAAATGGATTTTTCAGCCTTTCCCATCAAGTAGCTATTTTCTCTAAGCTAGGATTTGATGCTTAATTATTATGGTATGATCAAATGAAGGGACATAGTTTACTTAGCTTTGGTTTCGTCAGTAATTATTTTGTCATGGCTTTCTAGGAACTGAGAGAGTGAAGAAGATACTTAGTTGTCAATATAATTCCCAATTCTTTCTATACAAAAAGGTAATTTTTTTTTCCTATGATGTCATGTTGTAATCTTGGATAACTTCCACTGAAAATGATTTAGAGAAGTTGAACATCACAACATGATTACTGCTTACCACTATCTAGAATCGTCTCTGGAGAAAATTCTTTTCTCATTTACTATTTGGTCTGGCAGAACTGAATTTTTTCGTTTATGGTACTTTATTTTTGTGCCTTACCACATGGGCACTTGCAGGAAACTTAAATTACAGTAGCAAACAGATCAGAGTTTTTCTGACATTGCATTCGCATTGACGAATAGTGCTTTTTGGTCATCTGGTAAAACTGCTGATTTATGAAAACTCAAACCTGTTAATTCTCTTGCGCAGGGGCGCTGGATATCCTAATCTTTGGCCTTCCACTTCCTGCAAAGAGCCACTTGATGTATCAAAGAGTTCAACTTTCAATGTGGTTTCTGGAATTCTGACAGGTTAAGCTCATGAAAACATTTACCCTGTTATTTATTGCGTGCTTATAGATTACTTACTGTATGGGTATCG